GGACACCAGTGAAGTAAATAAATGACAGACTGCACTCACCAAGTGGCCTCAAAAGGGAGAAAACATGTTAGCCCGTTTTTTCCAAGCAAGCTACCACAGAAAGTAATAGCAGTGTTCAAGAGTACCAAGTCCCAGCTGGCCCAGTCTGCTAAATGCTGAACCAGGCCACCTCGTGTGGGCTGTAATAGCAAGCAGTAACAACATTGCACTGCAAAAAACCTCCTATGATTTCTTGGAGGCTCTTCTCCTTGAGATAAATCGCGGTCTGGACCCAGAGAGCCTGTGCCTTATATGTCACAGCCACAAAGCCAAACAGTGGCTAGAGGCACATGGATAGGCGTTGAGTACTCTGACCTTCACATCGCTCCCACATTCTGCCCCTTGGAAAGAAAGAATTTCCCCTTCCAACAACAGGACACCCAGAATGTTGCCAGGCAGATACAGCTAAGCCTCTGGTTGGTCAGAGAAGTGCCATGTGATGAAATGCATTTACTGGTAAATTAACCTAATTATCTGGACAGTGTCAACCAATTAAACATCCATGACTTATCAGACCATCTTCTGTGAAAGGGAGTTAAGTAAAAAAAATGGACTTCTTGGATTCATAAAATGCCCCCCCCCCCCAAATATACGATTTGTCTGTGCTAGTCAGTACAAAGAAAATTTGCATTGGTCGGCCACAAATCTGTACAGAAATAGTGCAATATTTTAATCAAGTTCTTTGTAGTCATATTGCATGGGAGATAAAGAAAAAAAAGACAGGCAATAGAGGTGACAATTAGCATTCAAGATGCTAAAAGCACAGATTTCCAGCGTTTCATTCAAATTTTCTTTATAACTAAAAAACAAAAGTTTTTAAAAGTGTTTAATAGGGACAATTTATTTAGATGTATATTCCGCTCTCCCCACGAATGGGCTTAGAGCAGATCACATCATATGTGGATAGAAACATATATATGTTGTTGTTGTTCAGTCGTACAGTCGAGTCCGACTCTTCGCGACCCCATAGACCACATCACGCCAGGCCCTCCTGTCTTCCATCATGCTCTGGAGTTTGCTTAACTTCATGTTCGTTGCATCAATAACACTGTTTAACCATCTCATCTTTTGCCATATATATAGCAATATTTAAAACAATTAAATAATACGATTTAAAAACAACAGTGTATAACCACAAACACAATTTCAGCTGGAGTGACTGGATCCAGAGAAGTTCTTAATCTGGGCCAAACAATGATCAGGCTTCAATGAGGGAGGCTGGTTTCACTGTATGCCCTCTAACTCAACCAAAGGTCTGGCGGAACAGCTCCATCTTACAGGCCCTGCAGAATGATAATAAGCCCCACAGAGGGCTCTGATCTCAAGTGAGAGTTTGTTCCACCAGGCCAGCCCTGGTCTTGGTCGAGGCTAGACGAGCGGATTGTCATCCTCCCCCCCCAAGAGCTGAACAGAAGCTAGATGTTAACTGGGTACAAACCACATGGTCTCACTGGAGGCACTATGTGACTCCTCCCCTAGAACTAGTTAACACACAAAAAAGCAAGAAAAACAGTGAACCTAGACTGCATAGCATTTTGCCCCCTCAAACACCACTGGGTCAAGCAAAAATCCTTGTGATGTCCAAAAATAAGATACACAAAACCAGCAATGATGTTTAACAGGGATGGAGATATACCAATATACCCTAGATTTCTTCTCTTCATTTATACCCCACCTTTCTCCCCAATGGGGGTGTCATTCTCCTCTTCTCCACTTTATGCTCACAACAACCCTATTAAGTAGGTCAGGCTGAGTGTGACTGTCCCAAGGTGACCCAGCAAGCTTCCTTGGCAGAGTGACAATTCGAACCTGGAGCAATCTAACCACCAAACCACACTGTACTGATACTTTGACATTTTCATCAAGCAAGGCAAGTACCAGCCAGTTTAATAAAGAAGAGAGAGGCCCAAGTGGTGTCCTCTGCTCTCTGCTGGAACTTTTGTCAGTTACAAACATTGCCTTGTTGGGAATTGCTGATTGTTTATACTCCCTTCAACAGTGTGGAAGGAAAGCTTGGACTATAATTATATCCCAAGTTATGTGGGAGTAAGACCCATTGAATTCCATGACACTTCCAAGTAAACATGCATAGGATAGGGCTGCAAATCCCTTTGTTTCCCCCCTCAGCCCACCTAAAACAATATCTTTCTCTCTGCTTCTTCTAGAAATATCTACCTAGCCACTGGCTGGGGAAACCCCGCAGTCTTTACCAGAAACAGAGCAGTTTCCAGACATTTAAAAAAACCCTCTCTGAACAGGACATTAGTTCTAAAATGCACGGCACCTTTCGTAAGAGGTATACAGAGTCTCTTCAAAATAAAAGGTGGTACTGTTTTGAGACTAGAACTAATAAGCAGCGCCTCGCCAGACTGGCACTTTCCAAGACCCTGTGATGCCACGGGTAGAATGTCCCCCTACAAGGTTTTCTTTTGTTCCTTCACATCATCTAAATATTGACACTGTGTGCCTGAGCTCAGATGCTATGATAAATAAAAAGTATAAAGAAACAAAATGATAAATAAAAAGGCTTCAACCCAGAAGCACTTTTTATAAGTCATGAGCCTTGTAGTAACTAGTGGTTCTTCTAAATGTATCTGCTCCAACCAAGTATTGTTACCCGCCTCCAATGCTCCCTCTAAGCTGTCGAGTCTTGTGAGCAAGAATTGTATCTTGTGAGCTACTGGCATTAAAGTTTGTGAGCTACTGAATAAATTAGTTTGCTCTGGAGCCATCCCTTCCTGACCTATGACAAAAATGTGTGAGCCGGAGGCTAAAAAACTGTGAGCTAGCTCACACTAAGGAAAGCACACATGATAAGCCAAGAGTACACAACAGGGCACTAGCACCTGGTGAACCTGACAGCTGATTTGAACCTAGGTGTCCCTCTGTGAACACAGCCACTATTTGACCCACCAAAACCAAGGCCTTATATCTTAATTCTAAGCCAAATGCATAAGAACACACACACCTTGACTCGAAAAAGAAGTGGGAAAGATGTTTCACATGTCTCAAAATGATAACAGTAACCACTGTTGGCAAGTACCAACGCTCTTGGTCCAGGGTCCACATTCTAATGTGTCTTCGGGCATATCCAGAATGAGACCCCATCCCCACCCCACTCCAATACAGAACAAGGCCTCCCAAACACACGTATTTCAATTTCAAGGGCTTTGGTTTCCATGCCAGAGGGAAGGATGCACAAGAAAACCTGAGCCCTGGGCCTTGTCTGAACGGCAGAAAAATTACTGCAGTATTAGTTTAATTGAAACATACTAAACTGGAATCTTGCAGCACCTAAAAGAGAGACCACATTTTATTCCAGCACAAGTTTTTGTGAGTTTGGACTTCATTCCATGAGGTCAGGCCTAAAGCACAAAAGCTTGGCATGGAATAAAGTGGCACTAAAGGTTTTTTTTGGGGGGAGGGGGTGTTACAGAAAAAAATGCTTCTCCTGCAGAACTGCCACAGCACTCAAAGCATTCATCCTTAAAAGGCATTCTGCTGCCACACCCCACCATTTATCCCTAACTATGGTTACTCAGATGAACCTGCCCTGGACTAAGTCAACTCACTGGTCCATTGTGTGCAGTGTTGTTGCTCTGACTGGCTGGCAACTGCTTCTGGGGGTCTTACTAACTATTAATGCCTGTAAATGAATCTGGGACTTTCTAGACATAAAGTGTATGCATAACCACAGCACCTCCTCAAGAACTAGCAACTCATGTGACTCCAGAAAAAAAAGGTTCCAGCTGAAGATGTCTTATACTGTGTTGGATCACTGGTTTATCAAGGTCAGGGTTGTCTACTTACACTGCCAGTAGCTCCCCAGGGTCCCAGATCTTTCACATTACTAGTGATTGAGCCTGGGACCTTCTGTGTAGAAAAACACTGAGCCACAGCCCTAAGAGCAGCCAATACTGACCTTGAGAGACATGTGAATACATAAAGCTACTTTACCATTGGTGATATGGCTCAGTTGCAGAGGATCTGCTTTGTATGCATGAGGTCCCATGTCCAATCCCGGGAATCTCCAGTTAAAAGGATGTAGTAGGTGATGTGAAAGACTTCTTCCCAAGACCCTGGTGAGCTGCTTCCAGTTGGAGCAGACAAAACTAACCTAGAAAGACCATTGGGACAGTTTTGTGCATTCACATGTCTACCAACGTCAGTATTTGACCTCCCAGACACATGAAGACTCTTGGTCTATCAAGGTTCATTCAGGTCGAGATCTTTCATATTACCTCCCACCAGATTCCTTTTCACTAGACACATCGAAGACTGAACACAGGATCTTCATGCAACACCCATGCTCTACCAGTGAGCTGCATAGCTAACGCCAGAGAGCAACTTACATTGTGACTAAGGTCTGTAATTTGTCACACAAAATACATTTAGCATATTTTCATCCCACCCTTCCTCAAACTGGTTCAGGTTGGCATACAGCATTTCCCCTCCTCCATGTTACCTCATAGCAATGCTCAGCCAATGTAGCATAGCTGTTCCAGCATCAGAGTACAACCCGGTAGTCCCAGAGTTTAGGGATGCCAGGCCATCTCTGGTACTCCCAGGAGCTTGGGGGCGGGACCAAGGGCGGATGGGATGTTGGCACGTGGCCAATGTCACATTTACTTCTTGTTTCTCCTGCCAGCTCCAGAGGCAAGGTGGGATCAGCAGGAGAATAAATGCCCAAAGCAGGCACTTGGCATCCCTACACCAGGTTCAAATCTGCACTCTGCCATTAAATTTCAGGCAAGTCATTCTCTCTCTTGCTAACTTACCTTGCAGAGTTGTTGCAAGGATAAAATGGAGATGGTGAGAATGACCATATAACTCTCTGGGCTCGTTCGGGACACGATAAAAACACACGCTAAGCAAATACGGGAGAAAATATAAAATAAAGTTATTGTTTTTAACGCACAGGCCGTTGACTCCCACCCCACGGCTGAGAGCCCCAAACTCACCGCTGTGCGAGCTAAACCACCGGGGCCCGAGGTGCAAAGGCAGCGCGTCGGCCAGCGAGGCCCTGGAACCCAGGTAGAGCATCCCGTCTCTGTGGTGACCGCCTCCCGTCTCCTGGTAACCGTTGCCATGGGCGTAAGGGGTGGAGTCCGCGCCCGACCCGCCGCCGCTGCCAGGGCCGCGCTCCGAGTCTCCGGCCGCGGCGGCCGCCGAAGCAGCCGTGTAGAGCCCGAAGGGGACGCTGCCGGGCGCCGCGGGCTCCATGCCCAGCCCCACGCCCCCGCCGGCCACCGAGCTGACAGAGCGGCTGCGCAAGCCCATGGTGGCCCCGCCGCCGCCGCCCGCGCCCCGGTACTGCCCGAAGTGGGGGGCTCCTCCGGGCGGCGGCACCGCGCTGTCGTCGCTCGACACGCCGCCCCGCGAGCGCCCCGCTGCCGTCGCGGCCGCCGTGCTCTGCTTGCCGCCCATGCCGAGCGGGGAGGTGGCGGGGAGTCGACGACGACTAGGAGCTAAGGGCGCCCCCGGAGCCGGGCATCCTCGCCTCGCCGTCGGCGCTGCCGCCGCTGTTGCTGCAGCCCCTCCTCCGCTTCCTTCGCCCCCAACCGCCGCCGCCGCCGCCGCGCCCCAACGGGCGGCCCGCCGCGCCTCCCGGGCTCATCCACGGCGGCAAGGCAGCAGGGCCAGCGCCGCCCCGCTTCGGGGCCCGCCCTACGGAAGGGAGAAGCGGTGGCGGCGACCGCCGCGGCTTCGCTCGAGTCCTCTAGCGCTGCTCCGCATCCAGGCGGCGGCCAGGCCCTGCCTCTTGCAGCAGCGGCGGCGGCGGCGGCGGCACCTCCGTCAAGGCGCGGCCTTTAGCCGGCCATGGAGAAAAAGGCGAGCCCTGCCCCTGCCCCAAGGCTCCGGCTTCCCACTTTCAGCCGCCCCGCTGGGAGGCTGCCTTTTGTCCGAGATGCAGCCAGCTGGGGCTCCCGCCTCGCCGTCGGTCCGCTCAGCCCTCCTGACGGCTGCCGGGGAAGACAATAGAGCCGCGCACGGCGCCTGCGCCACTCAGGCTCCCCGCCCCCTCTTCTGCCGCCGCCGCCGCCGCCGCCACCACCACGGCCATGCGTCAAGGGCTGGCCCAGCTAAGGAAGGGGTCGTTTGAACTGGGCTCCAGGTGGCCAGGCAGCGCCTAGCAGGGCTCTGGTCGTTAGAGACCTCGTGGCTACCTTGGGAAGTGGAGACGCGCCGAGGGGCCGTGCCAAAGGGTAGCCGTGTTAACGTGCAATCCTACCCAATGGCTGCACAGTAACAACAGACGCCTATGCAGAGAAACAACACAGTAGTCCAGTGGCACCTTTTAACACTATGTTTTTAACAATCTTTATCTGCTACTGTTCCACGCAGGGAGTAATTAAATTGTGGGGTTTGGTGCCCGTGGATGTGGTGATGGCCAAGAGCATGGATGGCTTTAAAAGACAGATTCGTGGAGGAGAGGTCCAGCAAGGGCTGCTTGCCACTGTGACTGAATGTCACCTCCATATTCAGAGGCAATAAAACTCTGAGTACCAGTGCCAGGAGGAGGCAACATCGGGAAAAGGCCTGGTTGGTCACTCTGTGAAAAACGATGCTGGACTAAATGGACCAGTGATCTGATCCAGCAGGGTTTATCTTACATTACACGGTAATGCTATGCAAAGTTACTTCATTCTTAACTCTATTGATTTTAATGGCTTCAGAGTGGAGTAAATGCAATAAAATAAAACAGGTGTTTTAAAGTGCCACTGGACTCCTGTTTTTTTCTGCATAGGATTCTATTGTTACTGTGCAATTGTAGCAGTTAAAAAGAGCAAGAGTCCAGTAGCACTTTAAATTTGTAAATTAAATTTGCAAAATTTGCGGCAGGGAAACAAAATTTGTGTTGTACAATTTATTAAAAATGGAAAAGAAAAAGTTGTTTTAAAAAATGTGGCAAGCTCTGAACTCTTTTCTTCAGCTACAGACAGTCTGTCCTGATCTGTGCAATTGTTAACAGAGTTACATGCTTCTGACCCAAAGGACAATAGGACCTGGTGCTGAAACTTCAGTGAGTTTAGAAGGCTGGTAATTCTGCACTGTAAGTCTGTTGCAGGAAAAAATAAACAGGAGTCTTATAGCATGTTAGTAACTTAACAAAATATTATTCTACCATGAGTTTTCATACACTTCCGCCTGCTTCTTCAGACACATTGAATAGCTGTTCACTGGGAAGACATTCTAAGGAAGACGTAAGGCGGAAACCCCCAGCAGGGTCAAAGGTCAATGGAATGCTGGAAGTACAGGGTGAAATTTACATTTCAAGCCAAATCAAGAAAAATACAGTTACTGCACAGAGCGGTGACATTGAGGCTCAAGTTGATACACATTTGGGGTTTCGGTGTGCTGTAGCATTTGGAGTATTGGAGTATTAGAGTATTGGAGACTCAGGTTCTAATCCCTGCTCTGCTGTGGAAATTTGCCAGCCGCACTCTCAGCATAGCTACCTCACATGGAGGCAAAAACACTGTGGGTCCCTGATGGTGAGAAAGGCAGGCTATATCTGAATTAAATAATATATCTGAATAATATAAATATATCTGAATCCAATAAATAAAATAAAGGACACAATGACCTGATGTTGAACAGTTGTTGCTACTGGGTCAATGGCTTTATTTGTACCAGGTTTTGCCAGAGCTGAGCTCTAAATCACTACTCAGATAAGAAAGTAACAAAAAAAAAAAATTGTAGCTCAGGCTTGTTGAGCCCACTATGGCAGATGCACAAAGTGCACATCAGAGGCCTAAACTATGTTTCATGTTTTCCTTGCATTCTCCCCAGCTCCAGGTAATCCCACATGTGCCACAAATTCTGTCTTCGGAGCTCAGTTGCCACTGGCAGTTTGTCAGGCACACAAAAGCTGATGTGACTCAAGCTTGCAGTGCTCAGAGAGAAAGGTCTTCAGCCAGTTTGGTGTAGTGGTTAAGTGTGTGGACTCTAATCTGGGAGAACCAGGTTTGATTCCCCACTCCTCCACTTGCACCTGCTGATGTGACCTTGGGTCGGTCACAAGCTCTGGCACAGCTGTCCTTGAAAAAGAGCAGTTTGTGTCAGAGTTCTCTCAGCCCCACCCACCTCACAGGGTGTCTGTTGTGGGGAGGGGAAGGGAAAGGCGTTTGTAAGCCGCTCTGAGACTCCAAGTGAAGGGCGGGGTATAAATCCAATCTCTTCTTCTTCATCATCATCTCCTGGCACTGTTAGCCTGACCCAAACCTGCCACAGATGCTGATTTCAGTGGCCTTAGAAGGCTGTAATTCTGCTGAGGATTGCACTGCAAGGCCAGAGCATGCCCTGCAGAGCTGAGCGCCCGCTAGCATATTCACAAAGGGCTGTGGAAAGCTTTCTCCATGCCTAGGAGGATGAAAAGGTTCTCTGGAAGCTCTGCCTACAAACAGTGGCAGGGAGGGAATCCACCTTCTGCCTCTCTTACAAATGCTCTTGTTTCGCACTCCTTATTCACTCCGATACCCAAGAGGACTCTCAAAATAGCCACTGACATACATAGCAGCACAAAGGGAGGGAGCCGATGTAGTTATTTGGGAAGCTCATAGGACATGCCAGAGACCAGGAATGCTAAACTCCCTGCCCTGAGTCACCTTGGGTGTATGTCACCATCATATCCTATGTTTACTCAGAAGCACAGCAAAGGATGGCAGCTCCCCCCCGTACCTGTGCACAAAAAGTGCTACAGCTGTTTCCCAGGAACACAACCTCCATGTTATTTGCATGGATAAGTTTGCATGTCCTTCATGCCAATGTGACATCTTGATTTTTTTTTCTTTGCACACCATCTAATTAATTTGGGGGCACTGGGCCTACAAAAGAATTCACGAGATGCATGGCCAGAAATTAAACTTTAACAAAGGACATGTTCTGCATCAGGCAAGGGTTGAACTGGCTACAATATTGGCTCAATGTAAGCTGAGAAAGGGGTCACGGGAACTTAAAGCTTCTCCCTTGTGAACACAGCAGCCTGTGGCAGATCCTTTCTCTGCATATCAGATCTCTGCATGGGTCAGTGCTCTAGGGTTGCCTCTACTGAATCAAGCATATACAGGACAATGACTCTTTAAAAAGGGAGTGGTAAGGTCTGCTGAGAGCTAGTAATTATTTCCCACTCTTATAAGAAAGGTTTGTCTCAGTGGTCTGAATTTGTGGACCCACAGTTACAGCCTATTGCAACTTCTGTCACCCTCTCAGGCTGGATGCAGCCTATCTTCTTATGGATGGGAACTGAACAGGACGTCTTCAAGGCTTAAAGTCTGCATCAGAGCTTCCGTTTGGCAGAGTCTGGGCTTGGCTGAGAAAATGTTATGCTGCATGCTGCTGGGTCAGAGGCAGAGCCAGCCCGGAACCGCTTCATGTTGACTAGACTGCTCCCCAAGGGCCTCCTCAGCAAGGGAGAGGGTCTTTGCCAGCCAGTTCTGCCCCCTCAGATCTGTTCAAAAATAAATGTCAAACACTGACCCACTGACTTCTTACAAACCTCAATTACTGAGGTTACACTGGCCTACAAAGAATGGCCTTCGAGTGTATGCCGAGTGCAGCACCGCACCAAATCAGGCCCCCACTCACATTAGCAGAAGAAATTAAACCTTGTAGTGGGGAGTGTGAGCCCTCTAGGCAAGTTTGCATTTAGGGCTACCTGTTCCAGCCTGGCAAATTCCTTGAGATTTGAGGGGTGTGCCTAGGGAGGATGAAGTTTGGGGAGGGGTGGGAGTTCAGTGGGATGTGATGCCATAGAATCCACCCTCCAAGCTGTTGGAAATATGTGTGTTGCAAAGTCTAAAGTCAGTCATTATCGGGTTAATGTGCTTACCCTGTGTGCAGTTGTTTTAGACTGACCTGGAAGGGAACCTGGCAGAAAGCCAATGGAAAGAAAGCCCATTTACTAACAATCATTGGTTAATGTATTCAGGTGATTTCCTTCTAGGGGTCAAGAAGAAAGAAGAATCTCCATTACTATGTGTGTATCTGTTGTTGCAAGCATGTAGTCTTAAGTGTTTGTTGTTTTGTAGATTTTCCCGTGTACCCTTCCTTTTAGAAATAAAGATTTTTACATAGAACGGAAATGCCTCCTCTCCAGTGAACAAAGATCCATTGCAACCTCTTAATATCTAACTATTTTTACCAATTTTCCAACACAAGCTGCCATCTCCCCCCAGAAGAACTGATCTGTGGATAGCGTTGCCAGGTCCACCAGTGAGAGAGGGTTGCCAGACCCAGGTCATGAAACTCCTGGAGATTTGAGACTCAAATTGAGAGAGCCTGGGGAGGGCAGGGACCTCAGTGGGGTTGGGGTACAATGCCACAGGGTCCAAAGCTTCCATTTTCTCCGGAGGAACTGATCTCTGCAGTCTGGAGATGAGCTGCAGTTCCGGGAGCCAAGTCCTACCCGAAGGCTGGCATACCTATGACTCGGAATGCTGGAAATCAACTCCAGTCTCCAGTCCACGCCCACGTGAATGGCAGCCTTAACTCAGTGAGTTTCACATCGCTCAATGTAGAACCGTCTCAGCCCGATATTCGCACAGAACCACCAGGCCAAGGTCACAAGGATGGGAGGAACTGTGGCGATCATATTCGGCTTTATTAAAAACAAAAACAAAAAAAGTTCAACTCCTCCTTTACGCCCAACGGCCTCAGACTACACTTCCCGGCAGGCCCCGCGCGCACAGCGAGCTTGCGTTACGTCTGGCAGCGTCTTCTCCCCCGCCCGCTTCTGCAGCTTCTAGGCAGTCCAAGATGGCGGCGCGCTGGAGCAGCGAGAATGTTGTGGTGGAGTTCCGGGATTCGCAGGTAACCGGCTGCTCCCTCAACTCGGCAGCTCACGCGCCGGCTGGGTGTAAGTGGCAGGGCCTCGTTGGGGGGGACCGTGGCCCCTCTCCTTTGTTGCAAGAACACGAGCTTGCCTCCCCCCTGTTCACCATTCGGAGTTGCTGTTTTTGGCCTCATAGTGGCGTTTTCCCCTCAGTTCTTTTGAAGAAGCGCGTAGCGTGGCTGTTGTGTTTTCATTCCCTTTTATTCCCCTCAGGGTATGGAGTACATGGCTCTTCCCTCTTTTCCTTTATGCTCCCCATAATCCTGTGAGGTGATTAGACAGAATGAGCGAGAGGCTCACGGCGGTGCAGGGGTTCTCCCTTTCTCTATTATATCCTCGCAACAACACTGTGAAGTGTGGGTGAAATAGAGTGGCTGGCTCGTGGCAGAGGGGAGTACTCCCTTTCTCCAGTCTATAGTTGCAACAATACGCCACCCTGTGCGGTAGGTGCGGGGGAAATGGAGTGGCTCGTCCATGGCCGTGCGGGGGCTTATTCCTTTCTGTATTATATACTCACAACAACATTGTGAGGTAGGCGTAGGGGAAAAGGAGTAGCTGGTTAATGGCAGAGTGCGGTTCTCTCTCCATTTTATCTTTCCAATAACAGTCATGTGAGGTAGGCGTGGCTGATCTTGAGTAAGTGGCATGAGCTCACCAAGTGGACTTCATGGTTGACTGGGGATTTGCGGGTGGGACTCTTCAATCCTAGTCCCTATTTTTCTGAATACACAATCTGTTATTATGAATGTAAGTGCTCTGTCAAATACTTGTCAGGGATGCTCTAGGCTGATCCTGCATTGAGCATGGGGTTGGACTAGATGGCCTGTATGGCCCTTCTATGATTCTGTCTTTCTTGGGTCAGATAATCAAATGATTTTTTTAGTGATGATGATTCAAGGTTACCAACTGATTTGAGGTAAATGCCCTGGGTTGCATCCTGTGCTTTTAACTGCATCTGAAGTCTTATGGTACTTAAAAAAATATATTGCAGCTTTCGTCATCCAGCTCCATTTTGTCAGGTGCATGAAGCAGCAACCTTGGTAAGTAGGTGACCACCCTTTGTGTAGTCAGTTGTCTACCCACTGGTGTTCCTGCCACACTCATCTGACAAAATGGGGTCTGCTCTGGAAATAGCTTATGCATATATTGTTGTGGATTAGAGCATGTTTCATCAGACACACAAAGCATTATCTACAGTTGACACATGTAGGCCCAGAGAGGGGAATATTTAAGCAATGATTTTTAGCCATAATGTATACAGTTTTTGTGCTTCAGTGTGGATTATATTTCTGAAAATAATGCTTGATGGATTTGATGAAGTGTGCTCTAGTCCATGAAAGTTCAAGCCACAATACTATGTGAGATGCCGCAGGAAT